CAGAGGGAAACTGACTTTGCTAAGTTAATCTACAGAAGTAACTGACACTGTTATTAACCTCTAGAGATAACCAAGAAAACTGACTGAGGGGAATTGGCAGAAGGCAATTGACAGAGAGGAATTAACCAAGGGAAATTGGCAGAGGGGAATTGACAGAGAGGAACTGACCAATGGAAATTGGCAGAGGGCAATTGATTGAGGAGAACTGACCTTGTCAAGTAAACTACAGAGCCCCACTCCCCTAAACTGAGTATAATTAACGCTAGGTTGCCCAACAAAGTGAGATTAATATACAGAAATAATGGATAGAGTCCAAAGAGGAAACTGATTGAATGTACAGAACTACCCCAAAGGGTGTAGTTACCTTGTAGACCCAGCTAAGAAAGTCTCTAGAGATAATGGACAGATTATAGTTTACCTAGAGAGCTACCTAATGGTGTTATTAACCTCTAGCAATAACCAAGAGAGTCTATGAGGAAACTGAGAGCACAGTTTACTGAGGGAACACCTCTCCCCTGTCTACTGCACTCACAGGGCTACCCAGTGAACCTACGTGGGCAGTAACCATATAATTAACCAACCAAAAGAGGTAATTGAGAGTATAATTAACTGACAGACTACCTCCTTCCCACCACATAGGTGTCTTATAGAGGTGAATGATAGAGTATAGTGAATAGGGGTGTACTGTGAGTTGTCCATTCCTCACCACTCACTTCCCTTGCTTTGACTGACCCTCTTGCCCCCCAACCCATTATGTTCTGATGACTAGATGGGTGTGTACTCCTTGTCATACTTCTGCATTCCTTCATCTGGGAGCAGCACCTCCACTGTGAAGCTGACCTTCTTGGTGTGAACAAAGCTGTAGGTGTTGTCAAACCTCAGGACATCTATGGGGACAGAGACAGACAGAGAGGTGGGCAGGCAAAGGCAGTTACATTCTCCTGAGCTTAGAGAGTTGGGTTCTCCTCCTGACTATGTCTATGGGTCTCAGTTGGACCAACTTCCTCCTACCTGTGTTCTCTTCTCCTTGGGAACTGCCTTCCCCGGATTCCCACCTGGCTCCTGCCCCAGCCCGGCTTAAGCTGCCCCAATGGGGAAAGGCCATAGTGTCTGAGTCCTTGTCATTGTCTTGGCACTTGGCAGCCTGTGTGGTACTGTGAATACCCACAAAGGAGATGCAGTAGAAAGGGCATTTAGTTGGTGTCCTGCCTCTTACTTATTAGCTTTGTGACTGTGAGTAAGTCATTCCCTTCTTTGAACCTCAATTTCCTTCTCTGTAAAATGGAGACAAGATTCCCTTCCCTGACTTTTTCATAGAGTTATTGGGAAGGTGGAATGAAATAATGACTGTGTAAACTTTAGAACATTGAAAACATGTGCTAATATTGTTAACCCCAAGGCAAAGAGTAAGATCAGAGGATCATGGCATTTAGAACAGGAGAAGACATTATGGATCACCTAGTTCAGCTCCCTTCACGACGTAGATGAGGAAACTGAGTCCCAGAGAAGTTAATGGCTTCTCAAGGTCACACAGGGAGTAAATGACAGAGCTGGGATATGAACCCAATTTCTCTGATTCCAAATCACTACACCAAACTGCCCTGCTGAATGCAGGGATTCTGTCCCCTTAGAGTATGATGAAGGATGGGCCTGCTGCTGCCATAGTCATCTGTATGGAGAGATGGGTAAGTAGAGGTGGGTTTGGGGAAGGGGTGTGTGTATGTCTGTGGGGCGGGGGAGAGGGGAGGAGAGGTCCTGAGAGGGCGGAGGAGGGAGGTAGAAAACGAGACTTACACACGCCAGGCTCAGTGCAGGTGAGGCTCCCATCCTCAGGGACCATGTGTGCATTATATCTCTGGCTGGCAAGCACCTCCGTCATCTCCCCAGCTTTCTGTCGCTCCCCCATCTTGGTCTTCAGGAATATCCCAAAGCCTACATCTGCCCCATCTGACATGAACTGCCATCTGTAATGGAGCCAAGAGCCTCGTTGTACACCCACATCTGTGGAAGTGTGCCAGGAGCCTTGGGCCGGGAGAGGCAGGTCCCTTACCTGAGAACGCAGCCAGGGAAGAGGATCTCATACTCCAACTGGTGAGAGGAGCCCCTGCTGATCTGCACCGAGTGCTCATACTGGGTCTTTACCTGGTCTCGCACGTACATGGATTTGGGGATCTCGCCTCCGTAGTTGATCTGGAAGAGAGTCTAGGGTGAACAAGGACATTGCTGCTACCCTCCTCCATTTTCCTCTCCCCTTCTCTGTGCCTTCCTGCCCCAGCCTGGCCCAGGGCACTATACCTTGGTTACACACTTTGGGTTCCCATCAGGGTCAGTCAATGTTCCCCCAAATTGTGCAGGCAGCTCCTCAGGGCTGATGAGTTTCAGCAAACCTTCCTTCCAGTTGGCTGGGGGAGGGGGGAAGGAGAGGGACAGTGGGTTATCAGGTGTGAGAAGCTGTTCACACTTTGTGGCTGTCCTCTCTTAGCTCTGCAGTTAACTACTCTGTAGAGTACCTGGGGAGGTTTTCTGTCCTGTTCCTGCCCTTTTGGTTAACCGGCAAGGTCACTATACTAGGCTAGGGAGCTTTCTGTACTCTGCCATGCATCTCTGCCTTTCACTCCTCCTGGTCAGCTCCTACCAGGAAGGAATCCGGCCATGCCTACAGAAGCAGCGATCACAACACGTCACATCTATGTGGCATTTCCCATTTAGCAACCTGTGATGTACGGAGGAAGAAACTGAGGCTCAGAAGATTTTGTGGCATGTTCACAAGGAAATGTTGCAGCCAGGAGTAACCAAGTTCTTTCCCTTTATTATTATTTTTTAAAATCACGCTTGAATTACTGATCACTTACCAGCTGCGTGACCAGATGTGTGTTACTTAACCTTTTTGGAATGAGAAGGTTGGATTAGACTTGCAGGGGTGGGAAACCTGCTGCCTTGAGGCCACATGTGGCCCTCTAGGTCCTCAAGTGTGGCCCTTTGGCTCTAAACCCACACGTGGCCCTCTAGGACCTCAAGTGTGGCCCTTTGACTGAATCGAGGGCCACATGTGGCCTCGAGGCCGCAGGTTCCCCATCCTGGATTAGAGAATCTCTAAGGTCCAGATCCTGGGATCCTCTGAATATTTTCTCCTCCTCCCCTTCATCCTCAGCCCAGTTTGTTTTTGGAAGCAGTAGGAGGCTGTCTGAGCCCAGATACATCGTGTAGCTACCTAGCAACCAAAAGAAACCAGGTTGGACCACTGGAGGAGAAGAGATGGGGACTTAATTGCAACAGAGGAAAGCCAGAGGTAAGGAATGAAGAGCTGATGATGTCTCTAGGTTCACTATACTTTGTCAATTAGTTCTATGGGATCAACTTTATCCTTTTGGATATCATTAACTACGTTTTATAAACTGGCTTTGTGACTGCACTGGCTACTAAAGTGAAATTTAAAAGGGATAAAGGGGTTCCAAAAATCATTTTCACAAGAACAGGATGGGAAAGGAATGGCTAGATGTTCATTTGAAAAAGATTTTCAGAGGTTTCAGAGGTTTCAGAGGACCGCAAGCTCCACAAGAATTAACAATGCAATATAACAGCTGCAAAAGCTAATGACATCTTAGACTCCATGAAGAGAGGTACAGAGTCCAGGAAAGACTAGGAAGGAGATGGCCCTTCTGGACTCTGGGCTGGGCAGAGCCCATCTGGAGTGCTGGGTCCAATTCCGGGTGCCAAAATTTAGGAGGGTCATTGACAAACTGGATAGGGTCCAGAGGAGGACAGCCAGAGTGGGGAAGGGTCTTGAGTCCATGGCATATGAGGATGGAGTGAAGGAACTGGGGATGCTTAGCCTATGCAAGAGACGACTTCAAGGGATGTGAGAGCCATCTTCAGGTCTGTGAAGGGTTGTCATGTGGAGGAGGGATGAGCTTTGGTCTGCTTGGCCCCAGAAGACAGAACAAAGAGCCATGGGTGGAAGTTACCCTGGGATAAATTTAGGCCTGTTGTCAGGACAAACTTCCTAACAATGAAAGGCATCCAGAATTGGGTTCCTTGGGTGATATTTCCCTCATGGTATATGTGTGTGTGTGTGTGTGTGTGTGTGTGTGTGTGTGTGTGTGTGTTCAAACAAAAGCTAGAACACCATTGGAAGAGATGCTTCTCTATGCATGGTTTGGACTCAAATGCCCCTGGGGCCCCTTTCCACTCTGAGATTGTGGGATGCTGGGACAGGGGTGTCTTTGGGTTCTGGATGCCTCACTGAGTTTGGCTGCAGGGTCACTCACCTCAGCAAGCTTGGTGGTGTCACCACCCTCTGTCGGGTCTCTCTCTAGGGTTACTACACGTTGTAGGGTATTTCTGCAGGTGCCCGGTGCCCTATCTGAGGGGTCCTATCTGAAGTTACTGCTCAAGGCTAACTCTTGATCGGTCCATTGTAGGTTAACTATAACCTCATGTTTTGGAGGGAATTCAGCTTCTCCAACTTGACTTGTGGGCTTGCAAAGGACCTGCGATGGTGGAGATTTGCTATGAGACATGCCTGCCCTTCATGGAGCCCAAAGTTTTGGGGGGGAAGTAATTCTTTGTCCAGTTCTTGGGCAGGCCCATTGGTGACGGGACTTGGGGGAGGAGGAGAAGGGAGAGGAGAAGGAAGAGGAGGAGTAGGAGGAAAATGAGGAAGAGGAAGAGAAGGAGGAGAATGAAGAAAAGGAAGAGGAAGAAGAGGGGAAAAGAAGGAGAAGGAGGAGGAGATTGAAGAGGATAAGGATCCAGATTGGTGGAAGGTAAAGCTACTCACTTCCCAGTACGACAATCTTCCTGCGAGTGTCTTCGCTCAGGAAGGGCTTCATGAGATTGTAGCCCACGGGGAATAGTTTGGTGGCTAGAAAGAGAAATGTGGAGAGACTGGATGAGAAGTTCTGCAGCTCCAGCCCTGAAGAGAGCACAGTGGCAAACCTGGACAGCTCCAGTCAAGCAAAAGTAATTAAAAACCAATTGTCTGTGGCCCCTGGGCTGGGTCCTGGAGGAGACATAAAATTGGGAAAAGAGACCATCGCTGCCCTCTTGGAACTTAGAGTTTAACAGAGGAACAATGGTCTTTATTGAAGCCAGTCTTGGGCTAGGTGTCCTGGGGATTGAAGAGGAGTTGACAGTGCTCTCCCTCAAGGAGCTGACAGTCTAGTTGTGTGAGATGGGACTAACATATGGAAAACAATAGGAGGATGATACAGGATAGTGCTAAAGAGAGTGATATTGACTCTTAGGCAGACTGACTTGTTGTAGCAAGCACTGGATTTGGAGGCAGGAAAGGTTCACACCCTGCCTCTGACACCTGCTAGCTTTGTGACCTTGAGCAAGTCATTTAACCACTGTCTGCCTGTTTCTTCATCTTTAAAATGTTGATAATAATAGCACCTAATTATGTCTCGGGGTTGTTGTGAGGATAAAATGAGATATTTGTAAAGCACTTTGCAAACTTTAAAGTGCTATATAAAAGCTACTTTTACTATGATGATGATGATGATGATGTCATACTAGTCACCTTCATGTACTAGACTTCTCTGTCCCCACTGTTCTGGTCCTGATCTCTTCCACTTGTCTGGACCTTTGTCCAGGCCATTCTGCAATAGACTTCTCCCACATTTCCATCTGTTGATATACACCCCTTCTTTCAAGACCTAGTTCAAGTGACACCTTCCCCATGAAGTCCTCCCTCAGACACCTGGATGAGTATTCCCTTCCCTAATATCTCACAGCCCCTGCGGCCTTTCCTGATCCCCCAGCCCCCAGCCCCTGGCACCTCCCCCACTGAAATCACCTTACTTATATTTTGTATCTGCTTTTATTTGTTCATGTTGTTTCCCTTGATAAACCGTAAATGCCATGAAGGCAGGGACTGGTTCATTTTTGTCACAGTTACCCTGGTGCCTCACACAGTGCCTGGCACAAAGTAGGCGCTCAGTTGAAGTGAATTATGGGATCACAGAATTTGAGAGATGGAAGGGTCCATTTTTTGGATCCAATCCATCAAAGAAAGGAATCCCCACTATACCATGCCCAGTGCCCAGTGGTCCTCGCCACCCTCAGGGCAGACCATTCTACTTTGTCACAGCTCTCATTGTCTGGAACTTTTCCCTGACCTGGAGCCTAATTCTGCCTCTCTATATCCCCCCTTAGAAAATTGAATCAAGGCTTGACTTTTGGGATTTTTCAGAGGAGGAAACTATGGTAAAAGTGACTTGCCCAGGGTCATCACGCTAGCAAGTGATGGAACCTAGACTCGAACCCAGATCTTGTAGTTCTGCGGCTGCCTTACAAAGCAACATTTCCATGACAGCCTATGTTTAAGTGTGTGTGTGTGTGTGTGTGTGTGTGTGTGTGTGTGTGTGTGTGCCCAGCCATGGAGAGAGTTGGTAACTAACTTGCTTGTGGTCTGCAAACACTATCAACCAGCAAGTGTTTATTAAACGTCTGCTACGTGCCATGGCTTGGGCTTGGCGCTGGGGCCAGAAAGACATAGCAGAGATGATTGTGCCAGTGTCTCTGGAGGCAGCAGTATTGGCCCTTGGCTCAGGCAGAGATGGTGTGGGCACTGCTGGCGGCACCCCAGCCCTCTGCCACAGGCACACGGGGTGGATGTCTCTGAGGGCAGGGTGTGATCACACTTACCCTTTATAATGAGCATGAACTTGAGCCTCTCAGGGTAGTTCTCTTCCAGAAGACTGAAGAACTATGGAGCCAGGGAAGTTCCAGTTAGACCCTGTGGAGCCCTCCCCCTGGGCCCCTGCTCACACCTGGTCCCCTTCACTCCATCCCTGCCCGCTCAGAAGCTCCAGAAAGCCGAATCCGGGCATCTTGGAGGGCAAACCCTTCCACCTCCTGGGCGCTCCCCCTTCCCCATAGCCGGCCCTCTCTGGGTGTGGCCCGGGAGACCCCTCTTCCAAAACCCTCCCTATCCCAGACTGCACCTCTTGTGTGCCAGGCACTGTGTTAAGTGCTTTCCAAACCTCATCTCACTGACCCACCTCCTGGTACGTCTCCACCAAGGGCTTCCAGAAGTGCTTCAGGCCCAGCCCTTCACAGTCAAAGATCATCACGATGGTCTCAATCTTCTTCCCAAGCTGCGGGGAAAAGGGGGGGGCTGATGAGCTCCTAGGAGGGGCTCCACCAGGTGGGGTACTGGGGGGAGTCAGAGAGGTAGGAAAGAGCCTTCCAGGCAGAGGGGAGGGGCTCAGCTGGTGGGAGGGGCCTTAGAACAGGGGATGGCAGAGCTGGGAGGAACTTGAAAGACCACTTGGTCCAATTCTCTTCATTTTATGAAGAAGTAGGCTGATATACATATATATATAGATATATAGATATATATCTATATATACACACACACATATATATGTATGTATATATATATGCATATACAGAGAGTGAGAGACAGAGACAGAGAAAGATATATATATATATAGAGAGAGAGAGAGGAGAGACGGGTAGTGTTTGCCGCAGGTTCCAGAGAGTCAACGGCCCCGACTGAGCCCACAGCCCCCTTTCTCACCCCTCCCCCAGGGTCCTGGCCACTGTTAGCACCCTGCCTCTCCCCGGACCCCTGGCCCTCACGTTCCCTCCCTTCTCCTGGATGGTGTTGACCTCCACAGCTGTCCTGCGAAGCTGCTGCCCCTCCCAGGCCCCACTCTCCGCCTCCATCCTCACCTTCTCAGTCTGCAGGTCGCACTCGCGTAAGATGCGCTCGCAGTCTCGCATCTTGGCCTTGAGAAAGTCCTGCTTGGTCACGGAGAAGAGGAGCCCTTTGGGGTCCAGGGGGCCAATGATGTCGTACCAGATGGGGCAGCCGTCCCGGTCATAGCCGCAGAGGCCCCCAGGCATGTACTGCTGGATCACCTGAGCAGGGACAGACACCAGGCAGGGCAGGCCCCGGGTCAGAAGTGGTGGTGCTTAGCAGGTGCACCTGGGTTCCAACCCTGGCCTTGCTGTGTGACCCCAGGCAAATCGCTTCCCCTCTCTGGACTTTCCCTTTTCCCTGCTGTAAAATGAGAGGTCGGGAACTGATCTCCGAAGTCGCTTCTGACTCTAAATTTATGATCCTTCTCTGGGCCTCAGTTTCCTCCTCTGTAAAACAAGGAGGTTGGACTCAATGCCGTCTGAGGGCCCTTCTAGCTCCCATGCAGCAGACTGCGGGTGTGGCTAGATTAGGTACATTGGGGGGCCCTGGTGGCCTGTGTTCTCCTTCATGTGGGTATTCTCCCAAGGATAGAGATCACATAACTCAGCCGTGTATACAGTAGGTGCTCCATAATGGCACCTCACACTTCTCTAGCCTTCTACAGGGCCCAAAGGGATTTCCTCGACAGTGTAAACTAGTGCCAGCATCCCCATCCCCATTCCACAGTTGAGGACAGAGGCTCAGAGACATGGAAAGCCTTGCCTATGGTAAGTGTTTGGATTCAAACCCAGGTCTTCTGCCTTTGAGCTCAGAATGCTTTTAACTCCATTCTACTTCTATATATACATATATATGTCATATTTTATTTTCTTCCCAATTACATGTTAAAGCCATTTTTTAACATTTAAAAAAAAGTTTTGAGCTCAGGGCAGCTAGATGGCACAGTGGATAGAGCACCAGCCCTGGAGTCAGGAGGACATGAGTTCAAATCCAGACTTAAACACACTAGCTGTGTGACCCCGGGCAAGTCACTAAACCCCAACTGCCTCACAATTTAAAAAAAAAAAGTTCTGAGTTCCAAATTCTATCCCTTCCTCCCTTCTCCTCCCCTCTCCCTGAGACAGCAGGCAATCTGATACAGTTTATACATGTGCAATCATGTAAGACATACCATTATTTTGGGTTGCCTAACAGATATTTGTTGGGTGAATGAGTGAATGCATGAACAAATTTTGCCTGCTTCGGAAAAAGAACTATGGAGTCATACTATTTGCTGTCTCTGGTTTTGTTTTGTTTCTTCTTTCTTGTGGTCCCTCCCATTAGTTCTAATCCTTCTTTACAACATGACTAATGTGAAAATATGTTTAATATAAATGTATATGTAGAGCCTATATCAGATTGCACGCCATCTTAGGGTGCGGGGAGGGAAAAGAGGGGGAGAAAATTTGGAACTCAAAATTTTATGAAAGTGAATGTTGAAAACTAAAAATAAATAAACAGATTAAAAAATAAAGTTCTTTCCAAGAATCTGAAAACAAAAAATTGCCTGCTTCGGCGGTCCTGCCCCCTGCTTCCACAGGCACCCTGGGATTCAGGGACTGCTTGGGCAGTATTGCTTGAGCCTCACCTCCGGGGGTTGCCAGTCGAGGATGTGATCGATGTCCATGTTCTTCCGGAACTCCACATACTGCACAGAGATAACAGGCAGTGCCTGTGAGGCCGGGCCAGGCTGAGAGAAGCTTGGGAAGGGGGAGTGGGGATCCCTCTGTCTATTAGCCCAAGATACCAAGAACTGGAAGGACATGGACAGGCGTGGGCAGCTCACTCTAGAGCCGGTCACGGCACAGTTGGGGGAGAGGGGAGACTCACCTTGCGGACCATGGCTTCTGACTTCTGCAGGTCAAAGTTTCGAGCTGAGGGAGGGATACGCAAAGACAAGAGGAGAAGAAAACAGTCGTCATCAGAGTAGGTCGCAGAGACAGTGTGGTGTAGAGGGTAGAGAACCAGCCTCATTCCATACAGGCTGTGTGACCCTGAACAAGCCACAACCTCTCAGGGCTCTCAGACAAGCCTCTGAGACCAAAAGGGGCAGAGAAGGTCCATTGATAGAGGGAATGTCTTCACCAGGAAGATATTGAAATGATGCTAGTGAAATCCCAGGTCCCCCATTCCTGTCGCCCTATCCCAAGCAGTGGCATCATGGAGCACCTTACAATTTACGAAGCACTTTGGCCATTATAGCTGACATTTCCAGGCCATTTTAAGGGTGAGAAATACCTTCCCTCACAACTCTGAAATTGGGATGCAAGAATCTGATCCCTCTTTTACAGATGGGAAAACTGAGTCTCAGAGAAGCACAGTAACTTAGCCAGGGTCATATGGCTAGTAAGCTAGGATTCAGACCCAGGGCTCTCTTGGCTCTAGTTCCAGCACTGGAATTTCTGGTCCCCTAAATTACCCCTCGACATACTCTCTGCAGATGTTCTTGTTTGGGCCTCACCGGACACCTTGTGAATAAGCTTGGTGTAAATATTCTCCTGTGCATTTTTACAGGTGCCAAAATCGAGGCTCATAGGACTTAGAAGGGAAAGGCGGCCATAGCCCCCTAGACACAAAGCTGGAAGGCTCTCGGAGGATGGCCAGTCCAGTCCCCTCATTGCAAAGGTGAAGAAGCATGAGGCTAAGGAGCTGTGACTTGCCCAAGGTGACCTGGGTCCTAGGCGTGGGGAACCTGCAACCTCAAAATGTCTGGGGTGATTAGGGATCATTATCATTTACAATAAATATGGCCCCTCTGCCTTGGCCCCTTTCATCCTCATCCTCATCCCCATGATTATTGTCATTGTTATGACCATCAGGGCCAGGCGACCATCACATGGCAGTATGGACTTCACTGCTGTCCAAATGCTCGGGCTCCATGTTGCCAACATTCCACTACAGCGCCCTCTGGTGAACGTATCATGATCCCGCTACTCCCCTAACTTCCCTTCTCACCTCGGAGCCAACGCAGGAAAAAATAATCGTCAGGGTTGGGTACATTGGGCAGTATGTCCTGGACGTTTTCCCGGAACTGTGGAGAGAGATAGGCGGGTCAGGCTCTTTCCCCCCCAAGCCGGGCTCCCCTTGGGTCCGGTCGCATCCAGTCCTGGGGACCGAGGGTCTCTTAACTGCCCAATCCAATGGCGTTTTCTCCATCCTTATCCTTCTGGACCTCTCTGCAGCTCTTGACACTGGCTGTCCATCACTCTCTTCTCCTCCTGGAGACTTACCTTCTCTTTCCTCTCCGGATGACTGAAAGTCATGCACGTGTCTCTTACAAAAACTGTCATATCTGCACACATAAACAACTTGGAAACATAATTTTCTTAACATCCCCCACATGAGGAATTTCGGTGGGTTTCAAACTCACTGGATTTGTTAAAAATATTAAAAAGCAACCCTTTCCAATTAAGTAATTTTTTTTTATTTTAGGACTAGGTTTCCCTATCTGGCCCAAGCTGAAAGTACAGGGGATGTTCATAGGTCTAGTCCACTATTGATCGATTTGTATGGGAACTTTGACCCGGTCCGTTTCTGACCTAGGGCTTCTAGCCCCATTTTAGGCAGCCTGGAAGCCCTCAGTGCTGGTGGCTTACCATACTGATCACAGGTTTAGTGTGAACACCCAACCAGCTCAGCCCACTGTAACTCGGAACTCTGGAGTTCAACACACCCTCCTCAACCTTCCTAGGAGGTGAGATTACAGTACTATACCACCTCTTCCCATTACTCAGTAAGAATCAACTGATTAACATCAGGGAAGAAGGGAATGGACTGAGTAAACTTCATCAAAAACCTTTACATGGTTGGTGGATAGGAACTGAAAAATGAGTATCAGGATTTAGCCAACCTGGCCAACAATACAGTTCTTCCATTTGGACCACTTAGCACAGTGCCTGGCACACAGTAGTTGTTTCATAAATGTTTATTAAGCGGCTGATTGACAGCTTTGAGAAATATCCTCATCAACCATGACAGCCATTAAGACCAGTTATTGGAAGAAACTGAATTTAGAACCAAATGACCCTGAAATCACTAATCACAAAGTGAGGGTAGGGGTTTGGGTGGGGGAAGGGAGCAAACATTTATTAAGTGCCTACTGTGTGCCGGGCACTGTTCTAAGCGCTTTACAAATATCCCTTTACAAATATCATTTAATAGAGTATTAAGCCAGGGATGGGGAACCTGTGGTCTTGAGGCCACATGTGGCCCTGTAGGTCCTCAGCTAAATGACTGAATCTAAACTTCACAGAACAAAAATGCTGCAGGTTCCCCACCCCTGATAAGCCAAGATTTTTAAAATATTGAAGACATATTCGATTACACTGCCATAGCTAAAAATATTGTTACCAATGATAATGTTTTGGGGAGAACAAAAAGGTTTTTTGTACCATTAGTAAATAAAAATTTCTAAAATGTAATTTCATTTTTATCTCAATATTTTTAATTTCTATTTTTTGTAAGTTATGACGTTACCAACTATTGCTATAGGAGTACATCAGTACAATTTGTGAAGGAGTAAATATACATATGTTGAGGTATAAAAAAGTTTTATTTTTTCGCTAAGGGTGTGCTATCAAAAACGTTTGGAGACCACTGGTCTAATGAAGGGAGTGTCAACTTCATTTCTGGAAGGCCTCGATCAAATCCCACTTCCTAGGCAAATTATTTAATCTCTCTGAGTTTCAGTTGACCAATCTGGAAAAAGGGGTAGTTCCTGACTCACAGGATTATTTCCAGGCTCAGACGAGATCCTGTAGGTAAGGTCAGATAGGATTATAAGGGAAATCCCACTGGGGCTCCCTCCTCAGAACTTTCCTTTGGTTTTCCTCGTGCATCGACTTCATCCACCTGATGCTATGATGGGGTACACAGGTGGGGACCAATCCCATCTGATGTTTAAATCCAGACTCAAGTTTCTACCGAGTTTTATTGTCCCAAAGTACTTGCCCGACTTTATCTCAAGTTTAATTGTCCTTCTTTCTGGAGGAGAGAAATTTAGAGGTGCCTGGGGTTACACAACCTGGTAAATGTTGCCAAGACTCCACCCACTTTGTCTCTGCCTTATCTCCTCTACCAGACTGGAAGAGCCCTGAGGACAGGTCTCTGTAGTTGATATCTTTGCCTCACTCCCTGGACATTTCCCATCAGTGCCTACTTAGGCCCTGCACATAGCAGATAGCTAATATTTGTTGAGTGGATGTCAACTCAGTGCAGCCGTCCCCGGGGATGGACCCAGGCCCTGAAGGACAGGAATATCAGAGCCTGCCCCTAGCATTGCTTCTCAGATCACTCTCCTGGGGTCTCCTAGCTCACCCAGGGTGTCCTCCCCTCCCCAAGCCTTTTTTTCCTTCTATCTGCCTGCCCTCCCCACACTCAGCTCCCGATGGAGTAGCAGGACCCAACGACTATCCACTGGGCCTGGGCCAGCAGGGTCAAAAGACACGGGTAACACCACTCACCAGCAGGGACTTGTTAATAGGAGAAAAAAAAGAGGAGAGAGACCTTTTGTTTTGAGCAAACAAACACTCAAACAACCTTCCCCAGAATACATACTCCTCAACCCCCCAATCAAGTCAAAGAGCCGAATAGGGGTTGCTGCTTTCTCTATTTACAGACTCTTGTATGTCCCTAGTTCTGTGTCGCTTCCCTGATTAGGATGTGAGCTCTGAGGGCAGGTACTGTGTTCCCCTCCCACCCCCAGCTTTTTTTTTAGTACATCCCCAATGCTTAGCATAGTGCTCGGCATGTAGTAAATGTTTAACAAATGATTTGTAGTTGATTCTTAAAAGCCTGCTTCATTCAGGACCCTGGGCTTAGCTCTGCTGAGAAGATAAACCAAGGCCCACTACCCGAATTCTAATCCAACCTCAGGCACTTCCTAGCTGTTTGACTCTGGGCTAGTTGCTTCACCGCTGGCTGCCTCAGTTTCCTCATCTGTAAAATGGGAAGATTTTGGGGGGCCCATTCCAGCTCTAAATCATAAGGTAAGGCAGGGGTTATTATCCCCATCTTACAGATGAGAAAACTGAGGTCTTGAGAGGGCAAATGGCCTGTCCAAGGTCACAGAGCTATAGGAACTCAAATCCAGGTCTTCTGTCCATAGGCCTGGAGTGTCCGCCTCTCCCCTTACCCCCAGTATCACCTGGAATGGCCTATCACCCTTCTCAGGGAAGTGAACAGGGCCCCTGAGTAGGGAGAAGGAGCTCTCTCACCTTGGCCAGGGCCTCTGCCTGCTTGGGGCTCAGGTCCCCAACTCGCCCACTCATGATGATCAGTGGTCTGTTCTCCTGTGCCTTCCAGGAGGATGCCAGGCCCGATTTGGGCCAACCCAGGGCAGCCCAGCTTTTTGCCAGGCACTCCTGGGCCAGCCTCCAAGCCCGGCCCCTTCCTTGGCTCAGTGCCCCTGCTGCTTCTTACATAATTGAGATTAAGTCTGGATCCTCCTCCCCTCCCCCCCAACTCCATACCACCCCCCCGGCTGGGCCCTCAAGCAAATGTGAGTGAGGGAGCCCAGGTTCAAGGCCATGGCCCAGCCAGATGGGCCAGGAGGGTCGAGGATGTCCATCTTCAGAGTGGAACGTTGCGTTGGGAACAGGGAATCCATGTTACTCTGGGCTGGCTGAGGTTTGCCTACCGAGCCCAAGAGGAATCAGCTAGCCTGGGGTCCTGGGCCAGGCCTGGCTTAGGGCCCTCGACTGGAATGAAACAAGACACTGTGCCCTTTAACAAAAGGAGATTTACTGAACAAGAGCCTGGAAAGGACACATCCAGGGGACGAAGCTAAAGCACCAGGCCAGCTTTTAGCAGAAGATTAGCCTAGGCCGGGGGTCAGAGACCTCAGTCATTGTTGCTCCTACCTCCCACACCTGGTCATCAGGAGGCCTGCCTGGGTCACTAGGCCTGCTCTGCCACTGACTCATTCAGTGTGGCCTTGGACAAATCCCTCCCTGTCCCTGGGCCTCAGCGGCCCTCTCTCTACACGGCACTGGTGGGCTAAGCTGTTTTTAAGGTTCCTCCTGGTTCTAACATTCTATTTTCTATCTTCTAAGGACCCTGTGGTTCAAACTCTGACATTCTATGTCCCGAGCTACACGGCCCCTTCTCGTTGTAACAGTCTACATTCAGAGGTCCTTTCTAGCTAGGACTGTTTTATCTTCTATGGAAGCCACTCCCTAACACTGACATTCCCGGTTCTAAGACCCTTCCCAGCTCTTGCCTTCCATTTCCCCACGGTATCCTTTACAGCAGTGCATGGTATACTGGAGAGAGAACTAGCCTTGAATCCAGAAAGTTCTGGGTTCAAGTCCTACCTCAGACACCAGCCAGCAGGTGACCCTGGGCCCATCAGAGAACCTCTCAGTGCCTTAGGCAGCTCTGGAGGTAAGACGTTAGAGTAGATGAATTCTGGGATGGGAATTTTCATACCTGGGAGGTCCCTTAGTGATGCAAGGAAAGACTTGTCCTAAGCACAGATGCCCGCAAGACAGAGGAGCTGCAGTGACAGCCCCAGAAGGCTCCCCAGGGCACTTTGCTGTGTCCCTGTCATGCCTGCATTCAGTGTGAGCGTGAATGAGCATACCGTGAGAGCTCCCTGAGAGCAGGGACCGCCAATGCTTAATAAAGGGATGTGGGAGGCCCCTTGGACCTCCAGCTCTCAGCACAGTGCCTGGCACACAGCAAACAGTAAATGCTTGATGATTGATTGAGTCATATTGGATTGTGTTGTATCTCATTGCATTACATCATGTATCATATTCTATTGGATAGCATCCGCTCCTCTGCTCTCCTCTCTCCTCCCCTCTCCTCCCCTCCCCTCCCCTCCTCTTCTTTCCTGTCTTGTCCTACTGTATTCTGTACCCCAACCTGCCCCCAACCCACAAACAGCCTTAATTCTAGCACCGGGACTTGCTGTTCTCAACCTGTGTCACTGTCCAGGTCCCCTCCATGCCCCTTGGCACCCCTCCCCCAATTCACATTCCAGTCTTCCTCCTTCCCACCTACTTCCCTATGAAGCCTGAGCTTGGCCAATATATTGGGTTCCTTCCTTCCCCCTCCAACCCTCCTCTAATCCCCACTGTTTTCTCACCAGTCTCTTTTCCTCTCCCTAATCCCTTTAATTGGAGGCACCAGGTTACCTGGGGAGAAGCCAAGAAGACAGGGGTGTTTGTTGGGTGGGGGCAGGGTGAGAAAGGTGGAGTAGCAAGGGTCACTGGGGCCTCCCAGGGCTAGGAGAAGATGGGGGTACTTCTCTGAGTAGGGTAGAGGCAAAATATTTTGGGTTGGGGCTAAGAGGTTGGGGTGAAGGGGAGCAAAGCAAGACTGTATTTGGAATCAAAAGACTTGGGTTTGAATCCTAGCTTTGCCGAATACTGATTGTGTGACCTTGGGCAGTTAACACCTGGGTTTCTTCCTAAGTAAAATGGAGTGGGGGCAGAGGGGAGGGTGGGACTAAATGATTCCAGAATCAAAGAATCTCAGACTTAGAAGAGACCTGGGAGGCCACCCAATCCAACTCACATCTGGTCAGGAATCTTCTCTACAACAGTTTTGATAAGAGGTCATCCAGTTTCCAGGCGAGAAGCACAACTTTAGGCTACAAAGGCAAATACAAAGCTGCCCAGCCCTCAAGAAGTTTCATTCTACTGGGAGGTGGTGGAGATACAGAAATGAGTATAATTAATCAACCAATAAGTGCTTATTAAATGCTTACTATGTGTCCCATCGCTTCTTAAATGACCCCAACCCCACCCAAGTCCAATTTTTTTTTAAGACTGCAAGACCACTGAAGGATAGAGAGATGAGATTTCTTCCATCTCTCACATTCAGTGAGACAGGTTCCACACACAGGAGGGCTGCCCTCTTTGGCTGGGAGACTGGAAACCATGTCATATAAGGATAGAAGGACATTTAGCATGACGAAGAGAAGGCTCAGGAGCTTCTGTCTTTAACAGCCAGATTCTCCCTGTCCCCAGAGGACAGACCCAGGAGCCATGGGTGAAAGTTTTGGGAATACAGATTTAGGCTTGAGGTCAGGAAAAGCTTCCCAACAAACAGAGCTTTGGCAAAGTGGAAGGGACTGCCTTAGGGGGCCAGAGGGAGGTCTTCAAGGAGAGGCTAGATAGCTCCTTTGGGCGGTGTGCTGGAGAGGGCACTTCCATCCTGATCTCAGAGACTAATTCCTGAGCACCAACCGGTATCATAAGGCTCATAGATTGAGCTCTGGGAGGGATTTTAGAAGACCATTCAGTCCAACTGCTTTATTTCACAAATGAGAAAACTGAGGTTTCGGAGAGGTTATGTGATTTGACCACAGGAGGTAAACGGCACAGTCAAGATTAAAGCAAGACATTCTTTTTTTAACTGCAATCAGGGTTAAGTGACTTGCCCAGGGTCACACAGCTAAGGCTGATTTGAACTCAGGTCCTCCTAACTCCAGGGTGGGTGCTCTATTCACTGCACCACCCAGCTGCCCCTAACCCTAGACACTCTAATTCCAGCATTCTCTCCATTACTATTCCCCACCCTTGTACTTTATACAAGGCGTCATGGAGGACACACAAACAGGTGTCCAGAAGCTGAGTCTGATAGAAGAGATAAGACAAGGATGCAAACAGGTCGAGGCAAAAGGGGATAAGAGCTCATAAGTTACTTCTTCAAAAAGAGGAATTCTGAGGCTAGAGAGCTCACTTTTGGCTGGGGTAGACAGAGAAGGCTTCCTGGAGGAAGTGATTTTTTTTATCTGAGCCTTGCAGGATGGGCATAATTTCAGCAGGAGGAGATATAGGGGTCATGGGGGGTCAGTGGGGAGGGCATCCATGTGGGGGGATCAGTGGGAACAAAGATGTGGAGGCAGGAAAGTACAAGGATGTCTGAAGAGACTAGACTGGTCAGATGGAAGGCTTCCTAATGGTGAGCTGAAGGTAACAAAGCTAGAAGGGTAGGCCAGAACCGGAGGGTGGACAGTGTTTCCTGGGACAAGCTTCAAAATTAGAAATCCAAGGTTTTAGCATAAGTAGGATTATGACAGTACATGGAACATCAGAGCTGGGAGGGTCTTTGGAACAGGGGATGTCAAAGCTGGGAGAAGGCTTAGAACCTAGAACTTAGAATCTTCATGTTGGAAGGAACTGCAGATCCTAATCCAATCCTCATTTGTGGATGAAAAAACAAGAGCCAACGATCAGGGGAATGACTTGCTCCAGGTCACCCGGCAAGCTCAGGGCAGGGCTGCACCCAGAACCCCCTAGCCCCCTTTCATTTGGCTCTGTCTCCATCCCATTAAATTTCTCTTTTCTTTGCACAGCATTAGCACATTGCCTGGCCCATGGGAAGAGCTCCCTGCCTCCTTTCCTCTTGTGTCCCAGCACAGTGAAAATGCCCGCAGGTGCCAAGGGACCTAAGTCAATTTTCGACAACTAGGTCCTCCTTGAAATTCTATTTTTTCCAATTGAGTTTTATAAAAACACCAAATTCTTAGACATTCACAAGCCCGGGCACTCACGGTCCCGGCTGCTCCCCACCCTGCTTGAAGTGTTTGCTTGCTCTTTGTTGATTCAGTGCTTAGGAACTACGGCAACACCGATGATAGATGAACCACCAGGGGAAGGGATGGTCTGGCTCATGCTCTGGGACCTTGTTTTGGGGCCGTTACTAAGAGAGCTGGCAAAGACTGGGCCAGAGTCCCTGACAAATTCCTCCTCTGCCTTGGCCACCAGCTCGCCCTGACTGGGTCTTGGACCAAGGTCAGCGTGAGTCAACATCGAGATGTAGCAACCAACAACCCTTATGTAACCTCAGCCTGCCTGAGGAGACGCCTAGGGTCTCCAGAGCAAGAGAGGTGCTGGAGTGCCCAGCCAGGCTCTGCCCTCCTTGCAAGCTGTCACACAGCCAGAAAAACCCTCTTATTTCTTGGGCTTTTCTGGGGGCAGATTGCTTCGTCCCCTTCCTTGGTATTGCTAGGATTCTACACCCTTGCCTTTTTCTGTGAATTTCCATGCCGTGTGCTTGGGCCTCACTGGCGGGTCCCCAGCATCTTCCTGCCTTGGATAATAGAGATGGAATGCCCGTCCAGCATGAGCCTCTCTCTCTAGAACCTCGGACAGGCACCAGCGTAATGGAGCTGTGCTGGGGGAAGGTGAGGGGACCCAAGCCTACCAGAACAAGAAATGAATAAGCACGCACTAAGCGCTTACTGTGTGCAAAGCATAAGTGCTGAGAATCCATGCAGAAAATGAAGCCAGTCCCAGGCTTCCAAGGAGCTTGCATTCTAATGGGGGAGACAGAACATGATGGGCTTCAGCTGCAAGTCAGAGGAG